ATGTATATTTAAAAGTATTATATATATGTATATATATATATAATATCGATGTATCATATTATATGATATTATAATAGCTAACTGTGAGCACGTTCTGCTTCTCGGAAGCCGGTTATACAATTATTGTGGCTTACCTTGGCTCCGTCACTCGATGACGGCGACGCGCTCCAGTTTAGTTTCACCACAAGATATCGAGGACGGACAAATTCTTTTAGCGATAATGCTCTACGAAATTTTAATCATACAGTTACAACAGTTGAAATTAACATGTTTTAGTTACATTGTTTTAGTTACATAATTTATTCTTAAAAAACAATTTGTTTCGTGCGTGATTGAGACCGAAAATAATTTAAAAGTCGATATCTGTTTTCGAGAAAAAAAGATTTTGTAAGTCGTGCTGTAGTGTAATTGGAAAGAGAAAGTTAAGACTAACAGCCTAAGCTGTTAAAAAAAAATATTGATGTACTTCTTTTTCAAAAATTATTACTTACAATATATGAAGGCGTATCTAAAAGTACAAAAGTCTTTTCTCACTACGTATATCGTATTTGCTAATTTACTTAAGGCAACACATGTTCTACAATACGAATTTGTATGGATCAATTTGTTATCTACGCAGCTCAGCCGTAAGAAGAATCAAAAGTAATTAATCATTCAAAAAAGATCAACTAACGATACAGCTATGCGACTTTAATGGTTCTCTTCTATTTCGCACTATTCAATATTTCCACCTTGCCACTTCTCGCGAGCCAGCGAATGATAATCATTCTTTATTCTTCTATTTGCGATGGCAGATTGATAGATTATGATAACAATCTTCCCTCGCACATTTGCCGTAAATATATCTTTTATTAAACACACGATCATGAAAATGAGTTTAATTCAAATAATATTAATCATGCAGAAGCACTGAAAGAAAAATACACTGATCGCTTCCAAATTTCAAATACTGAAGAAGTATAAGTGCCTTTCTTATTGTTCAGCAGGCGGACCCTTCGCGCGTGGTCCCTTCCGAATGGAGGGCATCCACCATCTTTGTATAAAGGCAGCTAAACTTCTAAAATCAGTCCCTAATGAAATTAACGATCGCCAC